TTGCCTATGCGGTTGGGATAGTGAGTCAATTTATGCATGAGCCTCGTGCCCTTCATTTGGATGCAGTGTATCGTATTTTGAGGTATCTTAAATCTACTCATGGAAAAGGGATTTTATTTTCCAATCATGGTCACTTGAGATTGGAGGCATTCACAGATGCTGATTGGGCTGGTTCTATAGATGACAGGCAATCTACCTCCGGTTACTGTGCCTTTGTGGGGGAAAATTTAGTCACATGGCGTAGTAAGAAACAAACAGTGGTGTCCAGATCTAGTGCAGAGGCAGAATACAGGGCTGTGGCGCATGATACATGTGAATTGATGTGGCTCCAGTCCTTGTTGAATGATATTGGGTTTGTTTGTAGTGAACCATTGACACTGTACTGTGACAATAAAGCTGTCATTAGTATTGCTCACAATCCTGTTCAGCATGATAGAACAAAGCATATTGAGATCGACAGACATTTTATCAAGGAGAAATTGAATAAGGGTTGCATATGTATGCCTTTTGTGAAGTCTGCAGATCAATTGACTGATGTCTTTACTAAGGGTCTTAGTAGTAAGGTTTTCCATCCTATTTGTTACAAGTTGGGTATGAGAGATATCTTTACACCAACTTGAGGGGGAGTGTTAAGTATTAGTGTATAAGGGTAGTTATGTCTTTTGTTCCTTTAGTCTTTTATTATAAGTATGTGTAATTCTAATATGTTTAGTGGTGTGAAATAATATACAGCAGCAACAACAGTGCTCTCTCTTTTCTTCCTCTCTTTCTTTTCTGTTTTTTATGCAAATCTAACAGTAGACAAGGGCCTTAGCGGTTCCTTTGGCTAGGGCATGGCCGAGCATTATTATTGGCAAAAGAGATTCACTGCTTTGGCAGAATCAGTGGGACAAAACACGGGATTTGTTGTTTGTCCAGAAAAGAAATAGGATTGACTTGCTTAGCATCCTAAGCAATGCCAACATAGTACTGCACTCTGATGTATCATATACAAAGCTTGATTTCGAAAATGCTCTTACTCAGTTCACTGGAGTGGGAAATAGCATTTACATTTCATGCTAAGCTCTTAACAACACGCATGTGCAATTGTTTGAGATTTACACTTGTCTCGACTACCTTGCAAACCCAAGTGATTCCTTGTCCAGTAAGTACCAGACAAAGGGGTTGTAACAGGAGCATTGTATTTCTCCCATAGTAGTAGCACTTTATGTGGGAATAATTAGTGTGCTTGATGAACCACGACAGTGTTTTATTAAAATAAATATTTGACATTGACTGTAGCTTTTTCTGCACTCAGACATCCTTTTCCAATATTTGCTCTTTTCAATTTTTTCTATGTTGGTTGGTTCAGAAACTTGGTTGAAACAGAACATGGAGTACTATATATAATTATCTGATCTCTGCATATCATCATGTGGCTGAGTTTGTTCTTGATTTGTTTCTTCTATGAAGAAGAAAGGAACTACAAAATCAACTGACAGATAAATATATATAAATTACAATTAACATAGCATGCTATGTTGGTTCATTCAATTTTTTCTTTGCTAGATTCATTAATTGTTTATTAACTTGAAATTGCAAAATTTTCTTAGTTTCAATAGATTGTGAAATTTCTGTTGTAGAAATGTCTACAACACCCCAAATGATGAAATGGCCCCAGAACCAATCCACTCCCGGAAGAAATGGAATAGTGATGAAAATTCTCCAAAAGCTACAAAAGGGTTCAGAAAGCTTCTCTTGTTTGGTCGGAAAACCTAGACCGGAGCACGCCAACAAATTGAACCTATGGATCCTAGTTGATTCTTATATGCCAAATGCTTATTTTTAAGCACCATTTCATAATTCCTCTGGTTAAGATTAGGAGTGAGAGGAAAGCCTACCCAATGAATTGGTTAATTGTCCAGCCAGTGCTTGCCCTGTGGCTGCTGAATGAAAAAGGCTAGATAGCTCCAACTCATAATAAGGCATTTTGTGTTGCTTCCACGGAATCATTTTGTAAGTAATCTCTGATTTCGAGAAAGTTGTGAGTTGTAATCCTTTTGTTGGTGTACCCTGTGAATTTGGATTGATTTACCTCATGAATCTGTTTGTATCATTTGTTTCCTTTGTTCATGTTATGTTTATCTTGTATTGAAAACCCTGTAATGTTCCATTTTTTTGATACAGTTTTTTTCTTTGCAAATTATCAGACACTGTTGACGAATTTCTCTTATATTATATTGGGATTGCATTGCATTTCAGTTGAGTTGCGGTAGCCCCGTGGTGTTATTTGTATTTTTTGAGCAAAGCGCAGGTCATTGTGTAGTTTGTTGCGTGGACATGGTTTGAACCAGTCATGCCAATGAACTCAAAGCCATATTTCAGCTGCTAATCCCGTTGTCTTTTGATCTTCTGTCCTCCTCTGCTACTGGTGTTTCTCGTCTCACTTTTCTCCTCCACTGCTGTCTGTCTTTTTTTCCTGTTTTTATTCTCCTTCACCTTTGTTATTGTTGCTACCCTCCCTTTTCTTCTCTCCTACTGTTTCTGTTGCTGACATCTATCCCTCCCCTCTACAATTGCTGGTTTCTTCCCTTTCCAGTCACTTATTCTCCCTTTGTTTGAATTCAAACTCTTATTATTTGTAATTGTTGATTGTTACTTAATCATAGTTGAATTTAGTTTTGTTAATTGGTTGCTCTCAAAATATCTGAGCTTGGCTGTATTATTTTGTACTGCTGGTTTGTTATCTGTTTGAGATATTACACCTGCTGCGTTTGGGAGTTTGGGCTTAATTTACGAGGTTCTCTATTTGAATTGTTATAATTCATGTTTTGAAAACCTATGGCTGCATCACTATATTTCGGTGTAGTTATCTCATTAACATGTCAAGATGAACTTGCATTGTTTATAATTGCTTTGTTACTTGCAGCTTTTATGAAGGTGTTATTGATGGTTTTGATCCTGTTAAAAAGAGGTATAAGGTTAGTTTGCTTGTATATACTAGGTTCCAATCTTGTGCATGGTTACTATGTAGGTTTTACTTGCATGTGCTATGCTTTATATGCCAATGTTATTCATGTGGAGTTTATTGTTCCTAATTAGTTATTCTTTCCGTTCTTGAACAAGTCTCATATACGGGGCTTTTTCCATATTAAGCCTATTTTGTATCTTAATTTCCAAACTAGGTCTAGTTTGGACGGAATTCCCAAACTAAGTTAAAGCGCTATTACAAATCGCGTTTTCACTGTTTGGAGCTCAAAATGTGATGAATAATGAAAGCGTTATTGCAAACCGCGCTTTTAATTAAGAAAGAGCTGTTGAAAATCATGCTTTTAACGGAAAAAAATTTTCTGAAGAAAACGCTATTCGAAATTGCGCTTTCACTGCGCATTCGTATGCGGAAGAAAACGCTATTTGAAATCGCGTTTTCATTGTGCATATCTGTTTTCTTAAGAAAACGTTTAAATTATATTAAAATGTGACCAAAATAAAATCCAAATGCTTTGTAGCACAAATGTTAGTGCGCTTGTTTTGCCACCACAGTGGCGTGGGTTCAATTCGTGGGAATTGTTACCTTTCAATTAAGTTGATTTTTTTTTTTTTCGTCCTTCCACTCTCTATAGTTTATATATTTATTATGTAATTTTTTTATAAAAAAAAAGTAAAATGTGTGTTTTGTTAACTAAATTTTTTTTCTATAAAATATAATTTTTTTCAAAATGTCAACATGAATATTTAAAAAGTATTTGGTGTATTTGGTTTGAATTTTTTGGATTTAGTTATTTGAAAACTGAGTTTTTTTATTTTCGTATTTTTTTTATTTTTAGTGAATATTTTTAAAATTTTAAATATTTTTTTTTTACTTTTTTAGATGCACCATAGTTAGATGTATTTAAAAAGTAAAAAAATTTTGAAAAAATATTTTACAAAATTAATAAATACAAAAAATGTATGCTTTTAAAATATTTTGGTACATTTTAAAAGCGTACATTTTGCTGAAAAAATATTTTGAGTACGCTTTCGCTGTGCATATTTTTTTGAGTACATTTTGCTGAAAAAAAATGATAATTTGTTGAAAAGATACTAAAAATACAAAAATATTTTTTCAGTACATTTTTTGTATTTTTATGTATTTGTTAATTTTTTAAAATATTTTTTCACAATTTTTTTACTTTTTAAATATATCTAATTAAGGTGCATCTTAAATAGTAAAAAAAAATTTTAAAATTTTAAAAATATTCACTAAAAACAAAAAAACACGAAAATAAAAAATTCAGTTTTCAAATAACTAAATTCAAAAAATTCAAACCAAATACACTAAATATTTTTTAAATAATCATGTGGACACTTTGAAAAAAATTGTATTTTATAGAAAAAAATTTTAGTTAACCAAACAAACATTTTACTTTTTTTTTTGATAAAAAAATTACCTAATAAATATATAAAGTATAGAGTGAGTGGAAGGGAAAAAAAAAGAGTTGAACTTAATTGAAAGGTAGCAATTCCCGCGGATTGAACCCACGCCACTGTGGTGGCAAAACAAGCACACTACCATTTGTACTACAAAGCATTTTTGTTTTGCTTTGGTCACATTTTAATATAATTGAAACGTGTTCTTAAGAAAACAAATATGCACAGTGAAAGCGCAATTTCAAATAGCGTTTTCTTCAGAAATTTTTTTTATTTAAAAGTGTGTTTTTTAACAGCGCTTTCTTAATCAAAAGTGCGGTTTGCAATAGCACTTTCACTATTCATCACATTTTGAGCTCCAAACAGTGAAAGCGCGATTTGTAATAGCGCTTTAGCTTAGTTTGGGAATTCCGTTTAAACTAGGCCTAATTTGAGAATTAAGATACAAAATAAGCTTAATTTGAGAATTAAGATACAAAATAGGCTTAATATGGGAAAAGTCCCCTCATATACAGATGGTGATGAGGAGATATTAAATCTTAGAAATGAAAGATGGGAGTTAGTAAGTGGTGTCAGATGGGGTGGGTAATGGGCTGACTCATATTTGGTTCTTATACTTTTTCCCTATGTTCGGTATTAAGGATGATATATTTTGTTGGCACGAACAAGCAGCTGAATTCCAAAGTCCTGATCCTTCCTCTGACATGTATGTGTTGCTTTTTGTTGATTGTAAATTTTTTAGTTTAGAAGACGTCGCATTCTTTGAACTCGAGATATTCCAAAGCCAAATAACTGAAATTTAATAGCTGGATGGATGTTAGTGAAGTCAGAAATCTGGATGCAACTTTTGCCATTTTCTTATTTTTCCACATATGCTATTTTCTGATGAAAAATAGCCTTTGTATTTCATGTCAATGCCAATTGCAAAATGATTAATCTGACTTTAAGATATTTTTTGGCGTCTTGTTTGAGCTTAATCATAAAAGGACATTCAAATCAAAGGGGAAAAAAAAAAGAAGCTGATTTTGAAAATCAAAGCAATATATATAGTCTTCTCCTTTTTGAAACCCAGGATCTATCAATAATTGAGTTTTTGTAATACAAGATATATTTGAAGTTGATAGGGGCGGAGAGAGATGGCATGAAGATGGAAAATAAAATGATGAAGATTTATTTCTATTCATCGGCAATGCTTGGTAATGATATAGGGAAACTATAATTTGAGATTCTCATTTTTGTTCTTCAATGACATATGGACACCTTATTAGAGGCTTGGGACAAGAGCATTAGTGGAGACTAGTTTCGCTAAAAATGAGGAGAGAGGAGCATTTGGTAGGGATGTGATCGAGAAGAGATTGTAAGTCTTCAATTTATGACCTCCAGTTGATAGTGAGTGGTTTTCATCGCCAAGGACTTGAAAGCTGAGTGATTGAAAACGTCATTTGCTTGCAGGCAGGTGGTTGCTGCCTTGTTATTCAGCAATTTTTGAGTTTGCTGCCACAATGGGTAGCGATTTTTTAGTTTACTGAGAGGTGTTGTTGATAAGCATTGAAGGAATTTTTTTTTTTTTTTTGGGGGAAGGGGAATTGGATCTTAATGTGAATCCTAACTTTGGGTTGGGACATGTATTGCATGTTTTTAATCGCAACTAATTTATTTTTTGATTATGTATTATCATGATTTACATCGATATTGGTTGGGGCTAAGTTGTGCATTGGGAGTTATTTTGGCGCTTGACAGTGGGTATTAAGTTTGTATTTGATCACGAATTGGGTATTATATTTTGCTCTATTTTCATACTTCATCAATACCATAAATGCAATTAGTTCATTGTGGGTCTTTCAAATTATGTTGCTTGTTAGTTGATAATAACCAAAGACGGAAAGTTTAGGTTCTAATTTTTTTTCAATGATTGCTTGCCACCATGTCGTCCCCCAAGAACTCAAGTAATTATATGAATTTCATAATGGGTTAGGTAGGTAACATGCCTTCATTGCTCTTAAAATTTTATGATATACCTTCATCTTTCACTAACTGAAACCCTATCTTTATTAGTAATTTAGAAGAAATAAACCTGGAAAGGAATTTTTTTGGCTAAATTGAACTTTAAATATATTGTTATTATTTTTGCATTTACTACATTGTTTACTGAAAGAAAAATAGGAAATCTAAAAAAATGCTCATTTGGCGGGGACTCACTGTCAGTGTAGTATAGTTCCAAGAAAGACAATTGGCAACAGGTGAATTTTAATGTAAAAGCGCCAATAAGTGACAAACATGGATAAAATTGGAATATATTTGTTCTAAGTGGTTGGTGACAACCATGATTTTATCATCAACATGCTTGTAGGTGCAATGTTGCTTGATTGTGAGATCATTTATTCTAGAAGGGGAGATGGTTCTAGGATTGTCTGCTGTAATTTTGCTTCATGTGTTTTTTGAGAATTTAGTTGGGTATTTGTGTTATGGTTTATTCTATTCTATTGTATTGTATACAAATAAAATACAAGGAAATTAATGTAAAAGCGCCAGATTGCATTTGTTCGATTGATTTGTAGAGTGTAAATTCATGTGCTCATAAATGGTTTAAACTTTTATAATGCTTGCTTGGGTACGTATGACTTGTGAATTTCAAGTTTGTAAAATCCAGATGTGGAGACAACTTCTCCAAATGCCCTTAGGTCATGTTTGTTTGGGCGGACTGGATTAGCATTCTCATGACTAATAGTCCTAGGACTACGAATCCGTTGGATTATGTATCCTGTCTTAGCTAATACTCAAGTTTAAAATAATTAGTCCGTACTTCAATTGTTTAACCAAATATCGGATTAATAATTTTATTGGACTATTAGTCCAATCCCAAACTCATGTCCACCCAAACAAACATGGCCTTAGTGTATTAAGGAAGAAGACATGCAACCAACTTTGTACCACTGGAGAAACTATGTTAAATGTTAAGGTGAATTAAACTCACCTCCCCTGAGGTTTAGATAAAATACAATTAGTCCCATACTTTTGATACAATTACATTGACCTCCCTTAAGGGGCTAATTGTATTTTTCCCAAACTTCAAGGGAGGTGAGTGTAATTTACCCTCAGTGTTATGGAGAACCTAGCTAATGTTATAGTCCGACAACTTTTTTGGAACAAAATTTCGAAGTTGATTTTCTGCTGGCAAAAAAGGAAAAATATTCAATCTGTGTGAGTGTCACATAAATATAGTGAAGTCACATCTGGCATGATAAATCAATGGGCATTAATTGAAAATATTTTTTTCCTTTTGATATTAATTTGGCTGATGTTATTGGCTGGAGCATAATCGAAATCGATCGATTTTTTAGGGGGGTGGATGAACCTGTGGCTCATATGAAGAATAGGCTTTTGATGATTTTGTATAGTTGGGTTTCGGAAAGTGTCTAGGGATTTGTTTTCGTTTGTGGACTTTATAGATACTCTTCATGTTTAGGGTGGATTTTTTGTGTTGATTCTTTTCCTCTGCATTTGTTAGCATCATCTTGATGCTTTTCGATTGATAATATTGTATTTTATTTATCCCCAAAAAAATGGTTGGCTGATGTTATGTGTAGTTTGTTTTACGCTGTAATATATTGTTGAGAAATCTTCTTCTAGTTAGATTGGGGGAAGAATTTATGTCTCAAGCTATTGTTCTTTCTCCCATTTACATCCCGTGAAATTTTCGTCTCTATGAGAAGAATCTGAATGAGCTTTGGAGGTTTACAATTTTTTGCCTACGTAGTGATCTGGTGCGTTACTTAAACCATAAATTTGTATGTTTTCTTTCTGTTTATGGGTTAGGGAACCAGTAGATGGACATTTTCATTTTGGTTTTCCTTTTGCATTGTAAGACAAAAGTATTAAGATTTCATTTGCATATTGTTACTTCTTTGTACCTTAAGGCTTAACACTTTATATTTTTCACCTTTTTCATGAAATTTATGTTTTCAGTGCTCTTGGGTTGCTGAATATAACAAGTTTATGTGATGTAATCTCTTGAGATATAATTGAAATGGACCCTAGTTATGAAAAATGACACAGAATAGATTGATGTAGCTGAACAAAAACTACTTAGTTAAGGGTTTGCTGTGCAGTTGCTATAGTTTTAGAAATGTTGACTAGTTTTCACGTTGCTCATTAATTTTATAAAATAGTTGGTAACTTTGTTTTAAAACAGGATAAAATAGGTAAGTTGCATGTAATACTCACTTTTGTCCTAGAATATTAGGTGGTTGTAATTTGGTTGTCGATAGTTTTGTTTTGCTTCTAGAAGCTCCATGTCCTCTCATGTCGCAGGACTGGAAATAAGGAAGGTGAAATTTTTTGAAGCAAACCTATCTAGTTAGTCTGCTTTTTTATTTTATCTTTAAGTATTCCTTTCTAGGTATGGTGTTGGTGGTTAGCATGGGAAGAATATTTGTAGAGATGGTAGTATAATTGTTTGGATGAAACCTGTTCTGGTTACTTTACTTTATGACGTAGCTTTGTGAAACACAAATTTCTGGTACTGGTGCTGGTGCTGGTGCTGCTGACTCTGGTGTAGGACAGTATCTACAAAAGCTTTTAGATTGGCCAGATATGTGATACCACAAATTTCTATTGGTGGTGATAACTGTGGCATATGATTTCATTTTCTTTTATTTATTATATGCATTTGATTTGTTTACATTGGGCAAGAGAGGTATATTTGCATTTCAGACATTGTTGAGTTTGGAACGCCTGCAACGCAACGAAGATAGTTTGGTCCTTTTCCTTTATGCTTTTTATGTTTCATTTGAATTTTTACCTACTTTCATTTCTTGTAGTGTTTTGATGAGAAATTTGACTTTCCTGAATGCATTATTGTCGTTGCATCATATATAAATTTTTTCATCTTTATTATTGGATAAAATTTTATTACTTGTCTTGAAGTTTTTTCGTAGTTTTAGTGATTTCTTTTTTTCTTATCTTTTTCTCGCTTCTCTATTTTAACTTTTTTTGTGGATACTTATGAAATTAGGTTGTCAGTCCTGTATATAGCCCTATATTTCATTGGCTTACTAACTTGTTTTCTGCTACCAGGCACAAAAAGAAGAAAGCGAAAACAAACCCTGAACCATCAGCTAAGCAAGGAAAGAGGGAGGGTTCACGGTTTGTAACTTTCCTAGAGTCATTTCTTGCTGTATTATTTGTGTTAATTCCTGAAAAAAAAAATGTTGACATTGTATTTGCAACTGGTTGCCAGAGGTGGAGAAGCTTCCTCCAGCAAATCGAAAGGAGCTGCTACAAAATCTGGTCGTAAATCAAAGGATGACACTAAAGTCGATGGAAAATTGAAGGACAACACCTCCAAGTCCGGTGCTAAATCCAAGGATAATTCTCAGAAAAGCAGTGGCAAATCTGTTGTTGATGCCTCCAAAACAACTGGCAAATCCAAAGACGTCAATGCTAGCACACCAAAGTCCAGCATCAAGTTCAAGCTGGATAGCCTACTATCCTAGTATGAGATTGAGCATTCATGAACATAGCTATCTGTAAGTTGTTATTGTTAAGGGCCATGTTGAGATCCCTACTGGACTAGATGTTCATCCCACGTTGTTGAATCTTTTTCAGGTGTTGAGCTGAATGTGCTACAAGATTTGGATCTTCTTATTTGTTGGCCATGGGGCCTCTCTTGTATTAGCGGAATGCCATATGTGTAAAAAAGGTTGCACCATTCTTCTTGATTCGTTAATGATGTAAGCGCAATGGCAATTTATTTATTATACTCTTGTTGTATTTACTTGCATACGAAATGAGAGCAATGTTATTCACTTCTACGAGTTGAATATACGAGTTTATTTTCGCATGTTATCTCTGAAATGGAATTAAGTAAATGAAATTGGTAATACTTCGAGTAATAAAAAGTGGGTCGTGACAACTTGGTATCAGAGCGAGCCGGGTTTGAATACTTTGGGCTCGTAGGAAGTGGTTGTTACCACAGTGGATTTACTACGTATAGTGAGGACGTTGCATATAGATATCATGAAAGTTAGGACTTGTGTGTTGCATTTATGTGAGCATGGGATTCAGTCTCTCGGGTAGTATTCATAGCCGGTGAACTTGCTTTGAGGTCCTTTCGGAAACACGCCTGATCAACGTGATTTCTGATAGGAATTCCTTGAGAGTTCCGGGATGAGTGGCTATCTTTGTGGACTTGATTCGATTATGTGTTTACATGTTTAGATGATTATATGAAATAGAGATGTATATTTTGTGACTAAGTGAGTCTTGTGACTTAATAGTAGTGGTGTGTGCCTCGAAGAAGGCTATTGTGTTGTGCACTAAGCGTGGTATTTACTTTTGTGCTTTATAGGATGTCTACACGAGGAAGTAGAGGACGGTTGAGTAGTAGGAGTGTCGGTAGGGGCACAACAGTTTCTTTAGCACTCACCGTTGCAGCATCGGCTGTCGGCGAGGATGTCGCACGAGAGATTGTGAGAGCAGTGCAAGACGTCCTAGCTCGCACTAAGGGCGGCAACGGGCATGCTCTCAAGCTTACTAAGGAGTTTTTCCGCTCCGGCCCACCAGAGTTTGTGAGGGAGGCTAAACCGTTGGAGGCAGAGAGCTGGTTGGAGCAGATTACCATGACTCTTGATATGCTCAGAGTCGAAGAGGAGGAGTTGAGGGTTTCTTTGGCGACTTTTCAATTAAAGGGCGATGCGAGTTATTGGTGAAAGTATGTTAAGAATACTGTAGGTAGCACGTGGGTTGCTTTTACCGAGGCCTTTTGGGCCAAGTATTTCCCTCCTTCTGCTCGGGAAAGGTTGAGGGATCAGTTTTTGAAGTTGCGTCAGGATGATACTCCTGTGGCGCAGTTTGAGATGCGGTTTGCTAGCTTGTCGAGGTTTGCTCCAGAGTTGGTGGCAACAGAGGAGCGTCGCTGTTATGAGTTTGAAAAGCGGTTGTGTTTCGATATTCGGGAGAAGGTAGTTGGATCCTTTTGGAAGGATTATTATAATTTAGTCGAGGCAGCAGCCCATGTAGACGCCATGGTTGTGAGTGATGGTCGGGATAGGGAAGAGACCATCTCGGTAAGTCCTTCGGTTCCTAAGCGCTCTAGGCTCAGTAAGGGGTGGAGGCGGAAACATGCTCAGTCAGGGGCTAATTTCTTTCCTTTGCCTGGGGTTTCGGACTCTGTTGTTGGGGGGTCCGGGGAGATGCAGGTTTCAGACTAGTCTCAAAGTAGGGGGTCTGGTGGTTGTTTTGTTTGTGGTCAGCTGGGCCATGGTAGACGTTTTTGTCCTTTGCGTGTAAATTCTTCGGGTGTTTCAAAACCCAGTCAGACTCGGTTGTACCCGTCCAGTCAAGGACGCTATCGGTACCAGAAACGGGCAGGCCGGCCTTCGAGAGCCTCGCGAGGGGCGACTTATTAGCTAGCCCTGTATTATTACCTTGGAGGGGAAACTTTTGTGTTGTTGACCGGTGATGTATTATATGAATCGTTTTGTGGTTAACCGGTGTATTGTTGGATGCTGAGGCACCATGTTTATGTATCGCATATGTATGCATAGTGTTGTTTGTTTAATCCTCATGTATTGGGGAGTGTGTATGGAATTTCGAAACCCCTATAATATCTATTGAGAAGTTGTTAATGGGATCAAAGATCCTGATGTTGTTGCATGCTTGGTACTGTATGTTGAGATAGTCTGGTGATGACCTGTGGGCCTTGTTCACTTTTAGAGATTATTTGTTGAGATCGGGAACCCGTGGGTGAATGTGACTGATGTGATGGTTTCGAGAGTTGTGTAGTATTGATAAGGTATGGGAGAATGTTTGAGGGAATGTGAGATTTGTATCTCGGGTTAGCGGGAATAGTATCTGTATGTTGATTAGGGAAAACTGAAACTAATCGAACATGTTATGTCATTGAATCTGACGGTTGGAATAATACATCAAGTTTTGTATTGATTGATTGAACTTGTATATGTTAATTGCTTATATACAGTGTTGTGTGTGAGAGGAGATGGGGAATGTACTCCACAGTTTATTGGAAGATGGGGGATGAACCTCTAAACCGAATTTTGTTTGATTTGATATGGCACTAAAATGTATATCGTTATCAATTGTGAAGTATAAAAGTGTTTTTATGTTATATTGATACAGCACCAAAATGTGTATCATTTGTGTATTAAGGAGGTATTGTTGATGTGAGATGTGGTCTCCTTTGATTGTTGGCTAGGTTCTGGGCCATGTTTATGATTTTAAATTGGTTAAGTTAAGGGAGGCGGAATGAAATTGCAAAACCATAAATTTCTTATGCCTTATGTGTTGATAGTACAGTTGTTATTTCTATTAACTATCATTATAGAAATGTTGTGTTCCGTGTTGGTTGTGGCATCACTGTGTGAGTGATGGTTGTTGATAGTATTATTTTGGAAAGAAATGGAAAACAAAATTTTCCTAGTGTTTGGGCCACCTAAAGGCATTGTTGAGAAATTGATTTAATTCAAGGGTTTTGAGGAATTCCAAATAAATCTTTTTGGCAAATAAACTGTGGATGAGTATATGTTCTGGATAACACCGTGTTTGTGAGAAATGATTACAAAACTTTTGAGTTTTGCATAAGAAATGAAAGTTTTATTTCGGAATGTCAACATTGAAAATTTGTCTATCTTTGAGAAATGTCTCATGAACAAGAAAATGTTTTTTCTTATTATTTTCTTAGAAGATCTGCTTTGGTTGCTTTTTGGGAATTATGGTTGTTGAGTAGTGACTTAGCTTGAAGCGCTAGTCGGTTGTTAGTGAATTGTTTCGGGAAGGTTTGGTTTTATTGTAGTTTTTCGTGTTTGAGTGTTGTCGTTTGGAACGTGTTCCCTTAGTTAGTCTCTTCCTTGGCAAGAGTGAATCGAAGGTTTGTTGTGAGAATATTTCCTTCCTTGGTGCCCGGGTGTTGAGTGCTTTGTGATCAGTTGGCCTTGTGTTTTGGCGTATCCTTAATTTCGGGGACGAAATTCTTTAAGGGGGGGAGGTTGTAGCACTTGGGCCCTTTTAAAACTTTTGGGAAGTGTATTTGAATCATGTATTATGTTTTGGGAATCTTTGGTGTTGTTGTACCTTGGTTTTCGATGAGTGAAAATTTATTTAAACATGTTGGGATTGCTCGTTCACGCTTGTTCGCGTTGAAAAGTTGTTTGGAAACTTGAAAATCATGTTCTGGGGTCGACACCGGTCTTGGTGGTGTCGACACCTTCTTTTTTGTTTGCCATAAGGGTCGACACCAAAGCTGGGAAGGGCCGACCCTTGTCCTGAATTTGTTCACTGCATTTTGGTGTCGACACCTTCTCTTCTTGGTTGGCCGCAAGGGTCGACACCAATCTGTGGAAGGGTCGACCCTTGTTCTGAAATTGCCCACTGCATTATGGTGTCGACACCAGCCTAAGGAAGGGTCGACACCTGCAGTGCAGTCTCACTTAGTGTTCCAGATTTTTTCTTAGGTGTCGACACCTGTGTTGTGAAGGGTCGACACCTGCGACTTTTTTCCAGATTTTTATCACGGTTTGGACCTACCTTTTTGGGGATATTTTGACTAAATATTTTGAGTTGACTTTGGGGCTTATATCTATTTTTGACCTAGTACTATATAAAGGTTCTCACTTGACCATTTCTCTCACTTTTTCTTCCCTTTCCTCTCTTCAAACCGTGAAACACCTTCTCTCTCTCTCAAAAGGTACTTTTTACTCAGAGATCCTTAGATCTACTTGTTTGAAGACCTCTACTCACCTTGTTCCTTTAAGATAAAGTGTAGAGTTTGTCGAGGGCTTCATTGTGATCGGAGCAAAGCTTGGTTTCTCTTCCGTCGACTTTTGGGTTTTTCTTCCTTCTCCATTTGAGCTTCTACGTTTGAGGTAGGGGTTTCCTTGTTCTTTTTCAATACTTCGTCTATAGATAGACATGTGGTAGTTTTGTATTGCATGAAAATCATATCCATGTTGGATTTGTTTGAAATCATGAGAAGGAACCTAGGGTTGGTTGTTTGAAAATAGTTATTTTATTATTGATGGTTGTTTTGGGCTAATTGGAGTGTAAATTAGCTTGTTGTAGTTGAAAGAAGAAAAAGTCCTAAATTATATTTTGATTTGGTAAATTAAAATGGAGGGTAGTTAACCCATGTTGTAAATCTCTATTGTTAATGTGAGTTGGGTGAAGGTGTTAGTGCCTAAGGGGTTAACTTTGGCTTTGGAATGGTTTTGAAATGAATGTAGTGGACTAATGTGAGTTATGGCTTTATTATCAACGGAATTGGTTTTGTAAAACAAAAGGAATGGAATTGGTGTTGTGGAAACAAAAGGGATGGAGTTGGTTTTGTGAAAACAAAAGGAAATGGAATTTGTTTTGTGAAATGAGAAAAGTATCTTTGATATAAGTATGAAAATTGGATTGTTGTTTCTTGAGTGTTAAATACACACATGTGGGGGTTGTATCTTTAACTACCGTGTTAGTGTTGTTGTTGAGTTTGTGGCCTCATAATAATTGAGTCTTTAATAGATGTACTAAATACTTGCATCTAGAGGTTTTGTCCTTGGTCATCGGTGGAGGATGACATGGTTGTGTTGGATTGTCGTGGATGCATTACACCACTGTTGATTGAGCATTGTATGTGATGAAATGCTGAGATACATTGTATATGTATACCTGCTCGGGGGGAATTAATTATGTGTTCATATACTTTAACACATTGCTTGTATCTTGATGGTTTATGTATATGTGTTATGCATGTTGGTTATGCCCTGCTGTATTTTGGTTGGTGGTGTTATACCTTGCACTCAAAATCAGAGGTACCGTGACCTTCCAGCTAGCGACTGGAGAACTGACTGCGCTGAGAATATAAGGCACCATACCCTTCCAGCTAGCGCCTGGTAAACTGGCAGGTCGTTGTGAGAGGTGTGTCTTTGGTTTACTACGCACATAGCTGGTAGAGCAAAGTTTTGTTGTTGTTGTTCCATTGTATCCGAGGATATTATGGATTTGGTTGATTACAATTTGGAGGGCCGAGTTGCCTCATTAGTTGATTTTATACATGTTGATGAATTGTTATCTCCCTTTTATATAAGGTATGCATGTATAGATATGATTGTATCGGGAAAAAACCAAAACGTCATTTTTGTTTTTTGGAAAGTGTGAAGAGGATCGAATACTTTGAAAATATGTTTTGAAAAGGTACATCTGTTGTATGTATGGGAAATGGGAGAAAGTAATGGGCTTAGTGAAACTATTTCCTAAGTAATTGTTAATGCTATGAAAGATTGGGAATGAGGGTTAATAAAAGGAAAAAGAAAAGATGAATCGCCTATGGCGTTGATTAAAATGGTTGTTTTCGAGAAAAGTTCATACTTATGTATATTTTGTGTAAACTGTCACATTACTATCCTAGTATGAGATTGAGCATTCATGAACATAGCTATCTGTAAGTTGTTATTGTTGAGGGCCATGTTGAGATCCCTACTGGACTAGATGTTCATCCCACGTTGTTTAATCTTTTTCAGGTGTTGAGCTGAATGTGCTACAAAATTTGGATCTTCTTATTTGTTGGCCATGGGGCCTCTCTTGTATTGGCAGAATGCCATATGTGTAAAATGGTTGCCCCCTTCTTCTTGATTCGTTAATGATGTAAGCCCAAGGGCAATTTATTTATTATACTCATGTTGTTTTTACTTGCATACGAAATGAGAGCAATGTTATTCACTTCTACGAGTTGAATATACGAGTTTATTTCCGCATGTTATCTCTGAAATGGAATTAAGTAAATGAAATTGGTAATACTTCGAGTAATAAAAAGTGGGTCGTGACACAACCCCTCCTCATGTTGTTTATCATTATCCTCATGCTCCCTTCCTATTTGACTCTCCCTAGCTTGATTCTGACTTGATTTCTTATTACCCTCCCTTCTTATTTGACTATCATTTGAGTCATTCCCAATGTCATCAACTATGATGTCAATATCAGACAAGTTTACATCAATAATGTCTGTGTCACCATAACATATGGCATTACCACTCTGTTCTGTGTCACCACCACCTATGGCATTTACCACCCTGTTCTGCACCATTGGGATTTGACAACAACTTACTATTGGATGACAAAACCGTAATAGTATCTACACCCTTCTCTACATACACTACTACATAATCCAAACCCTTATAAGCCTCAAGCATTTTCATCACATCAACATCACTGTAAATTGTTTTCAACCCAACATCTAAACTATAACCAAGCCATGTATAGTACATATCTATGTTTGCTTCTTTTCCACCAACAAGGTCATAATAAAGGTCTCTTAACTCAAACATGGACATTTTTTCAAGGTCACAGTTAATTATTTTATTCACCCTACTACCCTCATAAACAACATGCGGATGAAAGACATAATGGCCCCCATGGTGCATTTGAACAGTTATGAATTTGTCTGACATTTTCAGCATTCACTCCTAAAGGAGAAAAAACTTTCATCAATACATTTTGGGACCACAACCCTAAACCCTAAACAAAGATATAGTCATGCATGTAACCAACATAAACTAAAATAATAAATAATCCATAATCCTGAAATAGATCACACAAAACAGAAAAAGAATATAAAAGCATAAAGTCATACAATACAAATGCCTACAGTATACACTGAGGATTAAATGCGTACAGTCATACAATACAAAGCATAAAGTAATAGAATTAAAAAAACCTATTCTTTAGGCATAAAGTTAAAAGTTAATTGAAGAAGGAAATAAACAAAGTAATACACTGAGGATTAGGGATAAACTTTACCTTTTCAGTGCATACCCCACACAAAACACAATGACAATAAACAAACAAAGTAATACATTGACATCATTCACTACAATAAACAAACAACCATAAGGGACCACAGTATATGAACAACTTCATATATACAAAACCACCATACCAACAGGATATGACCAACTGCATCGAACACAATGTCCATGACAAAAAGTTAACTACTAATGGTACAAAAAAGGGAGGCACACAAACCCAAATATACAAAACATACGAGACCACAGTATACAGCAACAAAAAGTACATCAACTAACATTTCATATATATATATGCAAATCGAATCGAATGAAATACAAAATAAAAAGCAATGACCGAAAAAATACCTTACAACTTATTCTTCGTGAACTTTTGGGCTTTGTTTGCTTCGTAAATCTCCAAATTAGTGATAATCGAACAATCGAAGCCTTATTTTATCAAATCTATACACTATTTCGTTTGATTAAAACCCTAATTTGTTCAATCGAACAACCCTAATTTGTTGAATCGTTCAATCGAACACCCCTAGTTCTCTTCACTTTCTTCTTCTCAGATGCACGACTGTTGGAAGTGAAAATGATAAGCAAGCTTAGATATATATATATATATATATACAAGGGTAAATTGGTCTTTTTACGTCTGCCATGCACGGTGTTAATGGTAGACATTAGTCTATCAACCACAAAGAAATTATGTGATGATATTTAAAAGTCAGAAATAATCCGCAGATGGCCTAAACCATAGGCGGTAAAAGTAAAATTTGCCCTAATTTTTTTTGTGGGTACTTATGAAGTTAGGTTGTCAGTCCTGTATATAGCCCTATATTTCATTGAGCATTTCCAACGGTTCACCTAATATTTCACCAAATTTGAGTTAAAAAATAGCCATTTCCTTAATTTGATACTTCACGCTCCAACGGTTCACCTTCATCAAATCTCAGTCAGGACAACCGGATGGTCGACCGGGTAGAGGAATTTTTTTTTTTTAAACCTTTCTGAACTGTGTTGAACCAACCACTGAACTGTTTGAACCAACCAACGTGAACTGACCGATGTGAACTGGTAGGGGGCGATCGGTTGGTTGACCGGCCGGTCAACTGCCCGGTCGACCGGTAATCTTTATTTTTTTTTATTTTTTTTATTTTTTTGATTTCCCTCCATTTCTGTTCCTAATTATTTTGCAATTTGTTTTTCCCTCCATTGGTTTACCCGTAATAATTATTTTCTTCTAAAATCTCATATAAACACATTATTATTTATATGCCAGACAACTACACAAGGATCACAAGGATTATATCTTAAACAAAAACAGAGGGTAATGGATACTTTGAAATCCATGATATTTACTTCATTTTCACCCTCTTCTTCTTCCTCCTCCTTTGATGAGGAGTCTGATGATGAATATATGATCACACTTTTAGCAGCTTATAAGCAGAATACCAGTAGTATGCTTCAGATTCTTAAGTCAAGTGATAGCTCAAAGAAAATAAGGGGTTCTATTGTAGGTCACAAGTATATACGCAGAGATAGAAGGCAAGGTCATGACAGATTGTTTGCAGATTATTTTGCTACAAATCCAGTGTATTCAGCTACAATATTTCGGAGACGTTTTCGAATGCGTCGTCCTTTGTATTTGCGAATTTTGAATGCAATCGAAGCACACAATTCATATTTTATTCAAAAACATGATGCAGCTCACGTAGTTGGATTATCTGCCCTACAAAAAATGACTTCAGCGATGAGAATATTATCATACGGTGTCGCAGCAGATGCAGTTGATGATTACATACGTATTGGGGAAAGCACTGTGATTCAAAGTTTCAACAATTTTGTTATTCAGTGATTGAAATCTTTGGAGTAGAATATCTGAGATCTCCGACACCAACTGACATTGCTAGGTTACTTGCTATTGGCGAGGTTTGGGGGTTTCCGGGTATGTTGGAAAGTTTAGATTGCATGCATTGGGAGTGGAAAAATTGTCCAAAAACATGGCAAGGTCAATACGTAGGCCATCAAAAAAAGCCAACCATTATTCTTGAAGCAGTAGCTTCTTATGACTTATGGATTTGGCATGCATTTTTTGGAATGCCTGGGTCACACAATGACTTGAATGTATTAAACCGGTCACCTTTGTTTTCTGATCTTGCCCAAGGTAAGGCTCCCCCTGTCTACTACACTGTTAATGGACATAGTTACGATATGGGTTATTACCTTGCTGATGGTATATACCCGCAATGGGCAACACTGGTTCAAACAATTTTTTCTCCCCAAGGAGCGAAGAGACAACATTTTGTAATGATGCAAGAGTCTGCCAGGAAAGATGTAGAGCGGGCATTCGGAGTCCTCCAATCTCGATTCGCAATTATAGGTGGTGCTGTACGTTTTTGGGATCCAAAAATGTTGGCCAACATAATGAAGACTTGCATTATATTACACAATATGATTGTTGAAGATGAGAGGGAGGAGCACCTTGATTTTGATTATGAAATTTCATCTACCAACACACCGGTGCAACTTTCCTCTACTCCTACCAATGACTTTGAATCATTTTTGTCTTGTCATTTAGGTATTAGGGATAAAAATACATATCATGCCCTCCGTAATGATTTAATAGAACATATGTGGCATCTTCGCGGTGAAAACTAGATTCACCACAGATATATTTTGTAATTTTGTTTAGTAAAGAAATAGAAGGTTGTCTTGTTTGTAATCTTTATTATGATGCACTATATTAACCAAGTAACGCAGAAGTTATGTGATTAGATGTGCTATTGTGGTGATCCAATCTTCAATATTCATAACTGTTCTCTGTTCAATTTATAACAATCATCAAAATAATTTATTTCAGTATGACAATTCTGTTTTGGAGTTCTATAATTCTGTTTTGGAGTTGCAAGTTTGGTTCACTATTGATTCCCCAATAAGTGTAGGAACACAAATATGAAATATAAAATATGACATATATGTTTTACATGAAATGAGTGTTATATGTGGATCTCATATCATGTACATCACATTTCATATGAGACATATCTGTCTCGTGTTTTGTATTTATATTCCTACCATTACTCATTGATTCCCTTCCATCCTTAAACAGTGAATCACACATTTCCTAAGAATCTTCAATCTTTTATCAAATTAAAATTTGATGACAAATTTGGTAAAAATCACCTCCAATCTACATCAAACTTTTACATTTGTTTCATCAAATCAAGGCAAAAAAAAAGCTTTTTACCAAATTCGTGATTCTCAAACTTTTGGGAATAGGTTTGGAATTTTTAAAAAGATTTGATGATTACGGGTTTGGCATTTTTAAGAAGTGAGGATTGGAGCATTCAATTTTTTCATCAAATGAAGCATTCAATTAATTAAGGGTCTGGCTCGTGGGATTCATCATGCATGCCATTATTTGTGCATTCGAATAATTGCTTTTGTAAGGATTTATCTTCAATATTTATAATTGGACTGATTGCATGCATTTCAGTATGTATATTCAATGTATTTGTATGTATATTTATTTTAAATTCAATGTATTTTCATTATTTGTGCATACATTATGTGTGCATTATTCAATGTATTTATGCCATACATTATTTGTGCATTATTTGTGGCATCAATTATTTGTGCCATTCCGTAAATGACTTTGATGTTGATGCATTCAACCTATTTTTCTGCCACATTCAACATTTACCCTACAGACATTGTACTATATGTGGCAAATCATCTATTGAACCACCTACCATTCAGAAGATCACACCACCTACAATTCATTATATGAACCACCTATCAATTCAACCACCTACCATCCTCTATATCCGCTGAACATTGCCATCACCACATTCACATTTCACATGTTTTCACTGAAGCCCTCTAACCACACACTCTACATTTTCAAGTGTGAATCCACATCATCACGAAAGCAACATCAGTAGGAACAGAGGAACAAGGCAGATCATCAAAACAAGGCAGATCATCAAAACAGAACAAAAAGGCAGCATTATTGGAGCAAGGTGATTCACGGGGCAACCGGTTGGTCAACCGGCCCTTTCAATTTTTTTTTTTCGTTCCAGTGTGCATGCCACTCAATTCTTCAACTGGTTTACAGAAGACAGGAACATAATTTCACCATATGTTACTTTCATGTTTTCTAAATTAATGTAGTTTATTAAAACCTGCACCACACAATAATTACATTTTAAGTTTCACTTGATGTTACTTTCTTGTTTTGAAAATGCATGTAATTTATTAAAACCTCAACCACAGAACATGAGTTTATTTACTTTCATGTTTTGAAAATGAATGTTTTTTACTTTCATGTCTTGAAAATTAATGTAGTTTATTTAAACCTCAACCACAGAACAAGAGTTTACTTTAATGTTTTTTAAATGACATTAGTTTATTAAAACCTCAATTACAGAACAAGATTTTGATTTTTTCTTCATGTTACTTTAATGTTTTTAAAATGAATATAGTTTATTAAAACCTGAACTACAGAACAAGATTTTGATTTTTACTTGATGTTACTTTGTAGTTCTATAAAATGAATGTAGTTTACTAAAACATGAACTACAATACTGAATTTTTAGTGTGCATGTTTTATTAAAACATGATCTACATTCATTTGATATGTACTGAATAGAGAGTCTGCATGCTTTATACTATATTACTATGTTCTTAAATTTTCAGTTGCCATGCATCATTAAAAATACATGTCTACATTTTAATTCTAAGTTCATGTTTTCAGTAAGCATTTTAAAAGACAGTGTTTATGTTAATTACTTCATTATAGCACATTTTTATTAAAATTCAACAGATATTTACATCATGCTTAGAACTAAAAGAGTGAGAACAGAAGCTGGTGAAAGTTCTAACCCTCAACGACGCGAACAACAGCAGCCTCAAAATCAGTCATATCCTACAGATGAATTTCTCAGTGAAAGTCATGAACTAGCCTTTCAAAATTTCTCAAGTCGACCTATTGTAACAGGGAGGAGGGTCAATCTGCCACCTCAATATGATGCACTACTAGTTAGTAAACTTGAATCAATGGGATGGCTAAATTTAATTAATTTACCCCAAAAGGTATATCCACGGCTAGTATCTCTTTTTTATGTTCACCTAAGAGTTACTCACGAAGAAGATGGAAATTTTACTCTTTTGTCATATGTGAAAGGAAAGGGCGCACAGTTTGATGTTCCTACTTTGGCACGCATTATTGGAGTTGAGGTAGGTGAAAAAAATACCTATTTTCAGACTGAGGCTGAGTTAGTTAATATTGTCGGTAATGGTACTGATGTATATACTACTATATGTCAGAACAGATTTACTGGAACTAGTCTACAAGCAAGACATTTAAAATCTTATCTTCGGATCCTCCACCGGTGGATTGTAGAAAATGTCACTCCGAAAAAAGGACATCATGATGCGGTCCCATATTTTAATGCCTATTTGTTATACTGTTTTGAGGTTGGGCAGAAGTTAGATTTGTCTTACATAATTATGAAAGAGATGGTGCTGGCAAATCAAGAAATGGGCCGGTCATTACTGTTTGGGGCACTCTTGACAAAAATTTTCAAATATTTTAAGGTTCATCTTGCAAATGAAATGAAGATCAAAATCCATTCACCCATTACGCAATATACTGTGAATCGTGCTGGTGCAGCCGCCAATTTAATGGAAAATGATAATGCTGCAGAAGATTTAGAGGATGAAGTCCCACCAGATGATGGTCGACAAGATCCTCCTGTCAATGTGATGCCATCAACTGAACCACCTCAATATTAGACTGATTTTTTTGCCATAGAAGAACAACGTTATAATCAACGCGTTGAATGGGAACATCAAATGGCTAATCAGGTCAATTCGTTGGGTACTCAGTTTGAGACATTTGCCACTGCACAGAACTCATTAATTGAATAATTTGGTGAGTTTCGTTTGGACATTGGAAGACGTCATGACATGGCAAACAATCGCATTGATAGAATTGAGCATCGTGTAAATGACATATACCATCACTACTTCCCTCCTCCACCACAACCAGATAACGACTGCTGATCGGTGTGCCATTATGTGTTTCCATTGTTTTGTCTTGTATTATTTTCACCTTTTGTTAGGTAAATTTCTTTTATGAATGTACTGATTTTGTAATATTATGTGATATAAAATGATCTTGCTTCGGTATTACTTTAGCACCATCTTTTCGACCTTCACTCATACCATAATCTGTAATATGTTATTAATGTTTCTGATTACTTAAATTTGTATGAAAATTTTTGAAAGGTGTAATGGTAACCAAAGAAAAGAATAAATGATGTATTTATATGTAAGTAGTTATCTGTAATACTGTATGTACATGTACAACATATTCTTATTTGAGAAATCAGACAGAGGAGATTCATTGAGATGAAGATAAGACGCAGATTGAATGAAGGGTGAAATTATAAAACCTTGGAATTATAATCATGTATAACAATATGAAGATGTAGCCCATTGGACTTGATTGCGTAACAGAAGAACAACACCCATTTAGATAGTTGTAGGAAATTGTAGAAGAAAAAAAAAAATATGAGCCCCTTATCTGACATATCCATGAAGAAGAATTGCATTCATGATAAGTACTTAGCAATTGGTGTGTTTTGTTTTTACCAATCAATATGGTATCCAAAGAAGCAGTAGAGAATAGAACGCAACCATCTCAAGAAACAAAAACTGAGAACAAATTAATTAATTTCTAATTTTACATAAATAGAAAACGCAAGTGAGACATTTCATATAATTGTACACAGTTTTTCCGTTTCCTTTTCCAATAGGTAACACCAATAGATGAAACCAGTAAATACAGAACCTTTCAAGGTAATCTATTAGTTGTTCGAAATAAAATCTGCCGTTGAAGATCTTCGTAGTACGCCCTTTGCATTGGATTTAAATTTGCTATGTCCATTGACATTATTTTATGATCTTCATTTCGTTGTTCTCTTTCATTCATCATAGATAGGAGTTTTAGTTGTTCCTCCCTATCTTCGGCCCTTCTTCGACGGTTTGCAGCTTTCTGGTTACAGTCGATCGCCTTTTGTTCATCTCGCTCAATAGTTCTAGCAGAAATAGTTGATAACACTTCAACCATTTTGGATTGGTTGGCAGCCATTTCATCAAATCTACTATCGTAGGTTGTTTGATTCTTCAACTTCTCTTTCGCTGCTTTAGTACCAATTGGTCGTGTTGATGGATTAGATGGTTCTTCGTGCAGAACATTATTCTGGTTGGATTGAAATGCATCAGATTCTCTAGTTGGTGGATTAGAACATGGATAGGCATGTTGCGTACTCTTTTTGGATTGTGTTCAAAATTTATCCCACTCACAACTTCGGCGCAAAATATCCCAACATGTATCAAATGTGAAGTGTTTTTTCTGTATTGCATGATACATCCGCTTTGCTTCAGCGACCTACAAAAAAAAATTACAACAATTTTAATAACAAATATGCATTTAGAGAAGAAATTTGATATTTAATAACACAAATAAATGTTACCATGTTTGCCTCAGTTGTTCCACTTTGTTGCCTCAGTTGAATTTGTTCAAGAAAACCACAGAATTTATTAATTGCCTTTTGCATGTCAGACCAACGGTGAGACAAAGAAATACGGTTTCGATTTAATTCACCACTCAATTGTGAATTAAAATTAACAAGTACTCATTCCCAAAATATAACCATAGTCTGACTATTACCAGTAATGGGATCTTGAGAGACTGCTAACCAAGATCTACATAAAGTTTCATCTTCTATAATTGTAAATGCTTTACCACGAGAAACACGAGAAGTTTCTGAAATGAAATGATTATCACTGCTCTGCGTGTTCTGTTCTCGCGAAGTTCCCGACATAAAATTAATATCAGTGTTGTGCTGAAACATTTGTGGTTCTTCAAACATTTGAAAATCTTCCATAACTTTAAAAAAATACAGTACATACAATATGTAAAATAGTAAAAAATATTAGAATGATATACAATATAAATTAAAGTTTCAAAGGAGAAAAATCACAGAACAAACAAAATTCACAACATACAATGTAATGCTCTTCTCAAAATAAAAGACTCTGTCATCTTGATATACAAAACTGATATATTTTATAGAACACATTATCAATGGTAAATTTTAAAAATACTCTGTTCATGCAACGGTAAATTTATTTAAACGGCTACTTTTTAAAATATGTATATGAGCGGCAAATTATCAAAAGACTCTGTCCATCCAACGGTAAATTTACTGAAACGACTAATTTTAAAATATTTATATAAAAGATAACAATTTGAATTATATTTTCAATGAAATTGAAATTTATATCACATTTCAAATTATTTCAAATTATTCCAAGTCCACAAAATAAGCTATCTAAAAATAAACCTATCTGAAATTCTACCTGTTCAAACCAAACCTGTTGAAAGCAGTACCATTCTCATGCTTATACCGGGCGACCGGATGGTCAACCAGCCGGTCAACCGGCTGGTTGACCGGTTCACCTACACAGCTCAGGCCACGGACCAGTTCAAACCCATCAGTTTAACCAGTTCAAACCCCTCACAGTCTAAACCCGTCGCCTAATCTGATGAACCGGTTGACCGGTTGGTCAACCGGCCGGGCAACCGATGTATCTCTTTCAACGGTCAGTAACAGTGATTTGGTAAAATCCATAACTTGTTCTCAATTTGATACTTTTTTTGCTGATTTCTCATTTTGATATTCATTTAGTGCAACGATTAGAGCTTAAAAAAATATATTTTCCATCAAAATTTAAATCTAATGTCAATTTTAATTCACCGTTGGAGATAGTCTTACCTTGTTTTCTGCTATCAGGCGCAAAAAAAAGAAAACGAAAACAAACCCTGAACCATCAGCTAAGCAAGGAAAGAGGGAGGGTTCACGGTTTGTAACTTTCCTACAGTCATTTCTTGCTGTATTATTTGTGTTAATTCCTGAAAAAAAAAATGTTGACATTGTATTTGCAACTGGTTGCCAGAGGTGGAGAAGCTTCCTCTAGCAAATCGAAAGGAGCTGCTACAAAATCTGGTCGTAAATCCAAGGATGACACTAAAGTCGATGGAAAATTGAAGGACAACACCTCCAAGTCCGGTGCTAAATCCAAGGATAATTCTCAGAAAAGAAGTGGCAAATCTGTTGTTGATGCCTCCAAAACAACTGGCAAATCCAAAGGCGTCGATGCTAGCACACCAAAGTCCAGCATCAAGTTCAAGCTGGATAGCCCAAAAGCTGCCACCAAAGACACCCGAAAAACAACCACCAAAGACACTCCGAAAACTGTCACAAAATCTAAGGGTAAAGCCTCCAAAAGTGGGAACAAATCTAATGCTAATGGTTCTGGCAAGGCAAAAGCTGGTTCGGCGAAGGTAAAAGAAACCAAGGGAAAAGAAAAGTCGACTGAGACAGTGAAAACACCAAAAAGCGCAAAGGGGAAGTCACTGGATACGTTGAAGGGGCAATAAACTGGTGCGAAGAGTGGAAAGAAGCGGAGAAGAGGAGCTAAAAGCTGATGGTTTGGGCATTAGCTGCTTTTTCATCGGCGGTGTTTTGTTTGCGGGTTGCAGTAGAGTAAGCCGTGCATTTGTTAGATTTTGTCAGCTTTGAGGTATTTTGAAAATCATGGCTAGGAGTTGTTATAAATAGTCCCCTTGTTTGTTTAGTTTTATGGTAGTAGTGGTAGGGTTTAAACTAGTGTTATACACTCATGCTCTTACTTATTTTAGATGAAATTCCTGTTATTTTTTCGGTAAACTACATCAGAAAGTGTTTTCAGGAGGTTAGCTTCTGCTTATTAAAAAAAAAAAAGTCAAGTGTGGATAATTCCTGCATAGACCGATTCGGTGTTGGGAAAATGGTTGAAAATGGCTCCTATTCTTACTGTACAGCCTGCCCTCTAAATGCATTTTTTAATTTTTTGGTTGAACAGACTTTATTTTGTTGCTGTAGATTTCTACATGTGTCCCTGCTTGTGGGGCAGCTGAAAGCGTAGTATGGAGTTTGGTTTGTCTCTCTGTAGAGTCTGAGCCCTAGTCCAAACCATTTGGGGGGCTGTTTGGAACCTGAATAATGAACCCTAGGTCAGGTCAGGTCTACTGTTGTACTTTCTTTCTATTAAGTTGAAGCTTGCGACAACCTGAAACTTCAGTAGAAACTGTTTCATCCCCACCATAGATGACTCCTAGGGTTATGTATGTGCTACATTTAACCTTTATTTATTTAGGCTACTACCTTAAGTGTGGATTCTATGTTCATGTTTTGTGTTTTTATCGACTCTGGCATAGTAGCAAATATTTTGTAATTTTAGTGATTGTGGCAACATAATTATTTGGCTCCGAGTTTGGTCCTTTTCCAATTTCCATGAAGCTAGTCTCCTCTTTGTTTGTTGTTGCTTGAAAATTTTAAAATTAAAATTTTATTATATTAATATCTTGGTATTACAAAGTAGGGTAGGGGAAGTTAAACCGCCAACCCAATCTCCAATCTCTATTAAGAGTTTTTTTATTTTTTATTTATTTTTAAGATTCATATTAGACCATCTCTAACGATTAAGCAAATGTATCACTAAATTTGAATTTGGTGAAAAAGTATATCTTTTTTGGCTCCAATAATTTTATCAAATTGATATCAGTCTCAAATTTTCACCAAATTGAAGTTCTGTTGCATTTTTCAGCAAATTATTGTTTTGCGTAGCCGTTGAGTGTAGATCCACCGGATGACCAGTCGGACGTCCTCTCGGATGACCATCTCAAGTAAAATTTTGTGAAAATTTTACACTGGGAGGTCGACCTCTCAGTCGGGCACCTCTTTGTTTTCTCAATAAAAAAAAATATAGGAGAAGAGAGAAAGATCAACAGTATACCTCAATAGCAAAGCTGATGGAATCAATGTATAAGACAAATAATATATATATATATATATATATTTATGGAACTTGATTTTTGCAATTAATATGCCGTGTGTAACAATGGGCTGCTGTCTGGGCACTTGGTGATTGAATGTCTAAAATGGCTAGGTAACCCTGACTGAGACAGCTAAGACACTGGCTTGAAACCCGGGCTTTGAACGCCGTCCAAGGGGTACCTTCTTTTTGTGTTGGTGCTTATCTAGGCACTTGCCTAGGCAAACCATGTGATTCTGCATGAGTGGGCAGTATTAAGTGGTTATCTTTTACTAGGATGCTACCGTGATGTACTACTATATGGAGAGCAAACATTTATCTAAGTTTCTATCTACGGTTATGTCCTTTACCCCTGTTAGAATTTACCATCAACTACCACCTCACCTACTTCACTAAACCTAACCCACTACACCACTACCACATCAATCAAGACATCAATCAATAATACATAAATTCTTACAACCTCACCTACTCCACTAAACCTAACCCACTACACCACTACCACCTCACCTACTCCACTAAACCTAACCCACTACACCACTACCACCATCCACTACACCTATATCTATATAAGGAATCATTTGTAATAGACATCAATATAAATCAATCAATAATACATACAATTTATTCTCTCTCTATTTCTCTTTATACATTAAATTCTACAACCCCTTATTGCAACTATCAAAGAGAAGATTTTTCCTATACTATATTTGCAAATGCAAGTCTATTGTTGTGTTTCCGAATTAGGGGAAACAAAACTTCAATGAGTAGAAGTTTCCTGGAAAAACTTCAATCAAAAAGGTGGTGTTGTAAAGATATTTGGTGGTGGAATAATGTGATAGAAGCCAAGTGAAAAAAAAAAAGAAAAAAAAAAAGGACTCGTTTTAAAAAAAGGCAAAAAAGGACTTGTTTTAAAAAAGGCAAAATGCTAGAAATGAGGTAACTTTTAAGAAATATACGCGGGCTAATAAGGAAGTTAAAAGGGCAATTAATGGTACTAAGTTCAAAGCCAGCGTAAAGGTTGGTAAGAATATAAGTTAATAAATTTGCGAGAATGTTAATGAGAAGGTGATATTAATAACCTGTGTAATACATTAAGACAACATTGAAAGAAGTCTTAGAGAGTCGTAGGGAAAATACCCTATATGTGAAGATATTTGGTAGTGGGCTAATTGGCTAAAATAGCCTCTTGCCAAACGAGGCCTAAGTTCAAAACCAGCGTAAAGGTTGGTATGAATATAAGTTAATAAATTTGCGAGAATGTTAATGAGAAGGTGATATTAATAACCTGTGTAATACATTAAGACAACATTGAAAGAAGTCTTAGAGAGTCGTAGGGAAAATACCCTATATGTGAAGATATTTGGTAGTGGAATAATGAGATACAAGCTAGAGTAAAAACAAAAAAGGAATGTTTAAAAAATGGCGAAAAGATAAAAATTAGAAAACTTTTAAGAAATAGAAGTTTGCTAACAAAGAGGTTGAAAGGGCAATTAGAGATACTAAGCTAAAAGCTGGCAATGATTTCTATACTAGATTAGATAATAAAGATGTTAAAAAAATACATACAAACGTGCTAAATTGTGAGAAGAAAATCAAGAAATTTTTATTAGGTCAATTGTATAAAAAGTGAGGATTTGAGAATGTCAGTGAGGATAAGGATATTAAAGATAAGTGGAAAAGTTATTTTGAGAAAATGAAGAACATCTAGAAAGTTTGGGAGAAGAGGAATATGGTAGTCTTGATGGAATTAAAGAATATAAGTTTTATCGCCAAATAAGGCAGTTCGAGGTGGATATTGCATTAAAGAAGATAAAATCAGGTAAAGCATTAATATCATTTGTATATCTATTAATTATTGAGGTTTGGAAATGCTTTGGTGAGTAGGGTTGTCTTCATTAAAAAAATTATTTAATAAGATTTTAATGGTTAGGAGCATGCTTGATGAGTGGAGGCAAAATATTTGGTACCTATATATAACAATTTTGAAAATATCAAAAATTACAATAGCTATATCGGCATTAATTGATGAGTTATACAATGAATTGTGGGAGAGTCATTATGGAGTGCCTAAGAGTTACTTGGTTGATTTGCTTGTAAATTCTTTTGTATAATCTTCTTCTTTTGTTCTGCTTTTCAGCAAGTTGAGAATTTTCTGTCAAGGGTGGAGCAGTCACCATCAAAATCAATGCAAACTGCACTTTCTCCATTTATGTAGGCATTGGTAGCAGATGAACTTTTAAGGCATCCAGATGTAGATGTGAAAGTTGCAGTTGCCTCCTGCATCAGTGAGATAACAAGAATTACTGCACCAGATGCTCCGTATGAGATCAGATGAAGGTACTGGATTTTTGTTATTTTATTGATATATTTTGTCATCATTTTTTTTTGTCCTCATAAGTTTCCACTTTATGTGTACACAGGATGTCTTTTGGTTGATTGTATCATCCTTTGAAAATTTATCTGACAAGTCCAGTAGATCATATAGTAAGAGGACCTTGATTCTTAAAACTGTAGCCAAGGTCAGGTCATGTGTGGTGATGTTGGATCTGGAATGTGATGGTCTGATTGTTGAGATGTTTCACCACTTTCTGAAAGCTATAAGGTATGAGCTAATATCCACTTTATCTTTCGAAATTGAATTTTCATATTTAAATCGAATATAATTATATAATATATTATTCTGGTAAAAAACCTAAAACAGTAAAGCCAAACCAGATTGATGTGTTTTCTTTTGCTTTTCATTGGTCGTTCTTGGCTCACATTTAATTTAGCAGTCATCAGTTTTGGTTATAGGTCCTAATTTACAACCTGTGGGATGTGTATATTTATGTATATCAACAGAAGGTGGTGGTCTCCCCAGCTAGGGGTGACTTTTGTTTGAACATGTGCTTGTGTCATATGAAAACAATTTAGGCTGTAGTGCCAGTTCATTCTGCATGAGTTGGTACCAAAGTTGTTGAAAAGTTGTAAACTTCGGATTCCCCATTTTTGAAGTTACTGCCTTCTATTCACCATTGCAGGTTCTATACTTTTTGATAGGTTTGTTCTTTATAGAAATTTTTTACTTGAGTTTTTTTTTTTTTTTTTCCATTCATTCATATATTTTTCTGTAGATATAAATATCCTGTAAGCAACTTAATTGATTAGCTGATAAGGTTACTTTCCTAACTTAAATCGTCTACAAAAGTTCCTACTATGATGAATTGTACATGTTTTGCTTTTCAGCATCTGATATTGCTTTTGTTGAACTTTCAGGGATTATCACCCAGAGAATGTATTTTCCTCCATGGTCACAATTATGTCTCTTGTACTGGAAGAAAGCGAAGATATTTTGTTTGAGCTAATCTCTCCCGTCCTAGCTAGTGTGAAAAGGGACAATCAGGTCAATATTATTGACTAATGGATTACTGTGTTTTTATAACTGTTTTATTTTGTTTTTTGTTTTTTTGTTTTTTTTTAATGATTTTCTTTGTGGTTTCTCTATTTTCAGGAGGTTTTGCCAATTGCTCAGAAATTGGGGGAGAGAGTATTTAAAAACTGTGCTATAAAGGGCAAACCTTACCTGATGCAAGCTATGAAATCTTTGGGACTTTCTTCAGATGATTATATCGAAGTAATTTCATCTATACGTGATGGAACAAATGGTGCTGTTGGAGATAATGATGACAATGCTTGTGGAGAACAGCTGGTATGCTCACTTATATTTTCAACATAATATTCTTTTATTCATTACTCTAAGAAGTGGGAGGGGTATAGAGGCTGGAGTTAAATATTGTTTGAACAAGCTGCTGCTTATAAACTTTTGATGGGCCTAATGGCAGAGCTTAATTTGCACAGTTTTTCTAATAGTAAGTCTGATAATAACTTGATAATGCTGCTACCATTGCCAATGCTTTCTTTTCCAGTAATATCCTTGTTCTAATACCCAAAAGTAATTGATGGATGGCACATAGGTAACACAATTTCTATGATAGTATTTTCGTATTTAATTATGATAATACAAGGTTAATGCTGACATTCCTACTAGGCTTCTGCCACCACAGCTGCCTGGTCTGCATTCCTGGCCCTGCCTCTAGCATGAGCAATCCTGCTTAACCAGAGTGTTGCAGTAGCAACTCCTGTGCAATTATATGACCTGCACCTACACACCCATCTCTAGTTTATAATCTCACTGCCTCCTTTTACCTATAACCTATGGACCTGGGTGGGGTTTTGGGTGTGGGTATGTGTAGAAGTGTTGGATTCATCTGATTCTCATGTCTAACGACACTAGGGGCATGCTTGGTTTGTCTCTCAAAACATGTTTTTGGAGAAAAAATTCCAAAAATATGTTTGGTTGAAAATTACCCCCAAAAAAAAAAAAAAATCCAAAATCACTTTTTTCTCTACTACACATTAATCGATCAGTTTTTCTCTCTCCTCTCTCCTTCACAATCACTTTTTCTCTCACATCCTTCTATTCAACTACAAAAAAATATCAAATCATCCCAAACTCTAAAACTCTAGAACTATTTTCAAAATATATAACCAAACAAAATTTTAAATTTTTTAAACTCTCTCTAGAAAATTATTTTTGAAATAATATCTCAAAACACAAACCAAGCAAGGCCTAGGAGTCTACGGCATGGCTAGGTTTCGTAATTTTTTTAAACTTTTAATTTTGAAAGGTAAAATGTTGTCTACAAACTAATATTAGAGCATTTTACACATAAAATGGGTTTCTTGTGCATAGTTGTAAAGTCCATTACTTATGCATACTTAGTCAGTGCATGTCTAGCTAAACATCTCATACACATATCCTATACCCTTACTAAAGCGTTGAGTGTCCTACAAGGTTACTTCACAAATTTAGAGGAGTCCATGTAACATTGCCTATAACATCAGAATTTGCCTGCACCATTGTTGCGTTGCTTTCTAGTTGCCTTGTTTGCTTATTTTGACGTGAGAAGAGTCTCTGAATGGCTTATATAACCCGTAGCTGTATCATCAACCATGGGAAATAAATGTTATGTTGGATTGCTAATATTGTTCTTCACTGTCCAACAACCAATTCGGGAATCTTCATCCACTAGGAATGTCAGATTGATCTCTTTCATTTCAAAATAATGTTGTCTACTTATAGTAAATGTCTTCATTGATGCTAATATTTGTTTACTGAAATTGTCATTGCGTCAGAAAAAGGATTTTTTTGTGTGTGTGCATATGTGAGCATAGATGTTGTGAGCATAGATGTAATCATGATTTGGTATTCACTGTGCCGTATTGTTTTTCTTCTGACTGAGATGAGCAAGTTGGCTAGGGCATCTTCAGAGGGGGCAGCTCAGGCATGTCATCAATTTATATCTGTTTCCTGTAATTTATAGTTCTAGGCTTCGTCCATTTTAACTTCTAGTTGTTATTTGTTCTGTTTTTACATATGAAATTGTCGTTTCTTGTACTAATTGCGTCAGGCTGATGAGAACAAGTTGGCTGTGGCATCTTCCGATGGGGCAACCCAGGCATGTCCTGATAGTTTATATTACTTTTTGATTTGTATATCCAATTGTGAGTTAATTCATAAAATGATGGACCAACCTTAACCTGCAACTAATTGTCTGGACGTCATTTTTCTAGGATCAGATGACAAAAGAAAGTGTGACAGAGACTCGTCCTGAAGAAGATCATCCTGCTGTGGACGGATCTCCAAAGTCAGTGATGAGTAATGGTGTTGCAGAAACTGGGAATGAAGACAGATTGGCAGATCCAGAGTCTTCAAAGAAGCAAGAGCATGCTCACCAGGTTGATCAGTCAGTTGATACTAATGTAACAAGCAATGCTGAACCTGATGATTCAGACAGTGGGAAGACAGTAAAATCTGAGTCTAAGCCCGAACAAACATCCAAGAAAAGAGGACAGAAATCAAACGCTTTAATCAACTCAGCAGAACCTTCTGACTCCTCTCGAGTTGAGAGCGATAAAGTATCTGAAAGAACGGCAGACCGTCAAAAAAGTCATAGCAAGGAAGTCCGTAGTTCACCCTCTGAGGAGCCGTCTGTTGAGGTGGCTGTGACGTCAGAAAATGACAAAGAGAATGTTAAGCTTTCCTCACCAAAAGCAATAGAGAGTGAGTCAATGAATGTTGCTTCCCCATCCCCAAGTAGGAGTGTTCCTGATGAGGGTCGTCTGAAGAAGGCTGGACAACCAAAGAAGAAGGACAATTTGGTTCAAGACATTGCACTATCTGCCAATGTTGTTTCTAAGAAAGCATCTGATGGTACAAGTGATTTGGAAGTGAAGCCCCAAAGATGCTCAGGAAAAAAGGCTCCTGCTGGGAGTACTGAGGAGAAGACTCTGGCTCCGACGGATAAATCCAAGAGTGAAGGTGGGACAAGTGATTCAGAGGAAAAACCATTGAAAGATCATGTTAGGAAGGTAGATGCAAAAGATAACATAGTGGATGGGCCCTCATCAAAGAAGAAGGAAGATGGGAAAAGGCGTGGGGGAGGGCGAGGATGTGGACGTGGACGTGGAAATGCTACTTTGGTGAAGGATTTAACAAAATCATCCACCGAAGATGATGACAAAGTACTTTTTGATGTGCTTTGGCATTGTGCAGTTCTATTTGTGCCTGAGTCTTCATTGACCAAGTATCTTAAAAAAATATTCTTATGCATTTTGTAGGAAGCAGTTTCTTCCCCAAAACTTGCCGCAAAATTAGATAAAGATGAAGGCCACTTAGAGGAAACCACCAAGACGACTCTTAATTTATTTCATCCACCCAATGGGAAAGAGAACGTAAGTTTTCTCAACCCCATTGATGTGGTTAAATTTTCTATTGGTCAGCATATTTTGATTTTTAGTTTACATTAAATTTAATGCATGCAATAGCAAAGTGCCTACCATATGGTGCACCCACTTGTAAAATGCATTTTGTTTTATTCAGTTCAGTCATTTCATATTCAACATCATCTTGATTTTTACTTTCTTTTTGTGGTACTTTGTTCCCTTCTTCCTTTCGTCTGTAAAAGAGCGGCACAACTTTGAAACAAAAATGTAGAAAGAATAACTGAAGAGCTGTGATGACTTTGACTCTGTTTGCCTTTACATTTTAGCTATGTAAGTTCTTTTGTTGCATGGGTGAGCAATGGTGCAATTATGTCTTTTGTATAATTATTGAATCGATTTCTGTTGTCATTTGTACTTTTTGAACCAATTCTAATAAGTTGTTTATTGTTTCATGTCAGGCATCTGATACTATAGAGTATGACGGTATCCTAATCGGTAAAAAGGTCAAGGTTTGGTGGCCAGATGATGACATGTAATTGCTTCCATTAGGTTTTATAATTATATTGGTCACTGGTAAGTAGGGGTGCAATTCGGGCGGGCTCAACCCGAGCAACCCGAGCCCAGTTCGAGTTTTTTTAGGGCTTGGGCAACTATATCTTGTAATCTGAACGGGTTTGGACAGATTTTTGATGCCCGAATTGCAATTCGGGCCGGGCTTGGGCAGAACCAATGGCCAACCCGAGCAACCCGAACCCGAATTCAATTTAATATATTATATAAATTATATAATATATAATATATAATGGTGGCCAGATGATAACATGTAATTGCTTCCATTAGGTTTTATAATTATATTGGTCACTGATAAGTACTAGCTGAAGGAAGTCCTTACCTTTTAACTGAAGAATCTCCTTTTACTTTTTCTATGTTTTTTTTTTTTATTTTTTGGTCTTAAGCATGATACCTTGTCTTTTATGTTGTAATTTTGCCTTTTAGTGGCTGTGTGGTGTTGTCAAACTTCCAGTTTTGACACATCCCTAATTTTATTTTTAATTATAAAAAATTACTAGTAACAACATTTTAACCCCAGTTCAGCTTAATGATATGGTGATGTAGTAGGTATTATGGAGTTCTCTGTTTTATATATCTGTCTGCACAATCACCGAAAAGCCCATTTTACATGTCTCTCCATAGAATTATCTTAGAGCATGTTTGTATAAGAAAATTTAGTTGTTTTGTATATATATCTGTAAAATCATTTGTGATCCTAAGCATTGTTTATTTTACTTTTCACATGCTATATGGCTTTCTTTCTGAAAAGAGTATGACCTTCATCATCATTAAAGTTACACCATAAACACCTTAATTGTGATCCTTTCAGTGTTTGACTGGGCTTCCTGAGGTCGAATATTTTTCCGAGTAATCAATCTTTTTCTTCCAAAGAAAGAGAAATCCCGAAAAATCTGTCAATAAATGATCAACTCCATTATACACACATGATAGGACAAAGGCAGTAATCCCAACAGAGATTAGGATGAGCTCTGATGAATAAAATAAGAATTGGTAGTAATTATTGCATATCTTTATGACTTAATGAGAATAATGTGGTCACAATGCATTATTCCTGCTTTCACTATAAAACACAAAAAATAAAGTGTTTGGCCCATGGTTTAAAGGGGTATGCTATTAGGCCTTAAATTTGGAGTTAATTTTGCATTTCATTGTGACTTAATGAGAATGATATTTTGATGATGTGATTTTGCCTCTTTCAATATAAAACCCGAAGTAGAAACTAATTGGACCATGGTTCAAAGTGGTATGCTACAGACCCTATATTTGGATATTGTTGGTGTATTTTTAAGTGTTGCATTAGTTGGTAATAAAGCATGTGATAATCTCATTATCATTTCTTATTTTACTTTGATGAAGTTTTGGGGTAGTTTAGTATTTAGTTTCTTTTATTCAGTTGTTTATTATATTTGGTTTGGAGTAAATTTAATGGGATTATGTTTTGGCCTATCACTCTCTGGATCGGTTACACCTAAGCTAGTTGAGTTTGGGATTATGTTTTGGCTTATCACTCTCTGGATAGGTCACTCTCTGGATCGGTTACACCTAAGCTAGTGGAGTTATGGATTATGTTTTGGCTTATCACTCTCTGGATAGGTCACTCTCTGGATTGGTTACACCTAAGCTAGTGGAATTATTTTACTTTGGTGAAGTTTTGGAATTTTTTTGTCTTCAATTTACTGTCCCTGAAATGATAAAAGGGTTTTGTTCATAATTGAAGACAAAATTCCTGACGGCTGGTTCTCTCTTTTCCCTCTCTTTTTCCATCTCGTCTCTGCATCTCTACTTTTTTGCTGCTGCATCTCTGCAGGTTCTTTTCAGCATTTCCTTCTTTTCCTATATTTTCTTCTTATTCTCTGCTGGTTTCTTCTTTCTCTGGATCTGTCTCTCTTCTTCTTCTGATTTGGCTTTTTCTCTGCTGTTACTCCAGTTGTCCTTTGATCTTCCATCCTTGTTTTCTGCCACTGGTGTTACGCTTCTCACTTTTTCCCTCCATTGCTGTCTGTCTCTTTTCCTGTTTTTATTCTCCTTCACCTTTGTTACTGTTGCTGCTGACCCTCCCTTTTCTTCTCTCCTATTGTTTCTGTTGCTGACATCTATCCCTCCCCTCTATAGTTGTTGGTTTCTTGCCGTTCCAGTCACTTATTCTCCCTTTGTTTGAATTCAAATTCTATTATTTGTAATTGTTGATTGTTACTTAATGATAGTTGAATTTAGTTTTGTTAATTGGTTGCTCTCAAAATATCTGAGCTTGGCTGTATTATTTTGCACTGCTGGTTTGTTAGCTATTTGAGATATTACACCTGCTGCGTTTAGGAGTATGGGCTTAATTTACGAGATTCTCTATTTGAATTATTGTAATTCATGTTTTGAAAACCTATGGCTGCATCACTCTATTTTTGTGTAGTTATCTCATTAACAATTCAAGACGAACTTGCATTGTTTATAATTCCTTTGTTACTTGCAAGTTCTATGAAGGTGTTATTGATGGTTTTGATCCTGTAAAAAGGAAACATAAGGTTAGTTTGCTTGTATATACTAGGTTCCAATTTTTTGCATGATTACATGTAGGTTTTACTTGCATGTGTTGTGCTTTATATGCCAATGTTATTCATGTGGAGTTGATTTTTCCTAATTAGTTATTCTTTCTGTTCTTGAACAGGTCTCATATACAGATGGTGATGAAGATATATTAAATCTTAGAAATGAAAGATGGGAGTTAGTTTGTGGTAACTTTGAGTCAGATGGGGTGTGTAAGAGGAGCTAATTTGAGCCCACTAAATTAATCAGGCCTAATAGTCCAAGGTTGGTGGGCCCGAATTTATCGCAAGTCCAAGATTGGTGGGCCTGGATTTATCGCCATCAAAAAGGCCGAATCACTCTAAGTCTCGAAAGGGTTCGGATCCATGAACTTAGAGACTTATTCGGGTTCGGACTCGAAAGGGTTCGGATCCACGAACTTAGAGATACGAAGCACTTGACTTCGAACGAATTCAGATGCAATCTAGAAGCCGCTCCATTAATGAGTCTGCGGGCTCGGAGCTTTTCGGGATCTATGCACCAAAACCATTGGCGTAATGGAGTTCGAACAAAGGACCCGATCCTGAGAATGGTGAGTGGAGATAAATTCACTCTTCGTTTAAACTAGCCTATACAATCCCGGGGGGTCCATGAGACTCAGCAATATTTAGCGGCGGGGGGTCCTCTAGGACTACCTCAGCCCCTTGGGATGATTGAGGATCATTGGTTAGGTGTGGCTAAGAAGAAGGGTTCGCCGAGAGGTTGATTTCCTCTTCGGGGTTTCCTCATCCTCGGAGAGGTCACCTCCTCGGACAAGGTGGTTAGAGAGAATATTCTCCATGTGCCTTGTACATGGGCTCCATCCTACATCATGAGGTGCCTGTAAATAGCACCTACCCATAGCTTTACAAGGGATGGATTTTGGGGAGATAACTTTTGGGAAAGAACTAATTTTCCTTATCCATTATCAACCTTGAGAGTGAAAGTGGAAGATCCATGAGAGAGCGTTGCCATTGTTCTCTCTCTAGCTACTTTGCCTTCTTCTTCACATAATCTCTTATCTCTATCATCTCTTTGCTTTTGTGTTCTTAGTTGAGACTATTGAAGAATCTAAACCTCTTATCATCTTCTAGAGAATTCGAATTTTTCTTCAAGGATTTTCGAATTTTCTAACAACTTTCTTGAACCCTCACATACATTTGGCGACTTCACTGGAGAGGTGGATTGGTTAATGGTCTCAACGAGATTTGGAATCCACACAACTCCAACAAGGACGGCGGGAGAATATGAAGTTCACCAACAAGGATGGCGGGAGAATATGAAGTTCACCAACAAGGATCCTCTAATGGTGGTGATGACAGGACTATGGCTCTAGATCAACCACTTTTGCTCGAAGTCATTCAAGGACTTCAAAATACTCAATAAGAGATTCTTACCACTCTTCATAATCTCACTCACACCATGTTGGTGATGAGTTCTAATTTTGCACCGGCGCCAAACGAAAATCAAACTGGCGGTGGAGTTATCCCCGCCGGAGTGCAAAATCAAATCCAAGGAGAAGTAGGCCCCAGTCAGCCTGTGGCTCATGGAAACACAACCACAGTAACACATGCTTAAACCATGGTAGGTGGCAACAGTTTGCCCGCGCCCGGGCTCCATGGCGTGCCAAGCCAAGATCCAATGGTGACTAGGGGAGGTTCTGGTGTAATGAATGGCGCTCCGGCGACTGTTGGTGTCTAGGAAAATATAAGGGGCATAATGGCACAAAAAGGAGCTTTGCCCATACCTAATCTTGTTACACCACCAGTAAATGTTACTCAAGTACTAAGCGGGCTTTCTTTGGTGCCGACAACAAATTTGCAAGCTTAACCCGGTATAGCGGCGCCGTGCAGTGGACTTTGCGGGCCTCAATTCAATATCCCATCACCAACTGCCTTGTCCATAGGCGCTGATGGCCAGTATCGTCAAATGTCCTCACCAATGATGAATTCGTAACACCAAAATTGCCAAGTCGCCCCTAGATCAAACTCTCCCTCAACAGTTTCTCACCCTTGCCGATGTGCAAGCCATATTCGATCTCGAACGGGGCAAGAGGACTTTACCTTCTTTGCCTAATTCGGATGTCAAGCCGCCTTACCCTATCGAGATGTTGAGTTATCCATACCCAGAGGGGTACACGGTGCCGAAGTTCATCAAAATCGATGGCAAACAAGGAAACACTCGAGAACATGTGCGGTTCATCGAGACTCTGGATATTCATGGTTCAAACCACGTCCTCCAGAGAATTCTCTAAGTCCCTCACTAACCAAGCATATAGTTGGTATGTTAATTTGGCTCCAAACTCTGTCCGAAGTTGGGAGGAAATGGTTAACAAATTCCACTCCAAGTTCTTTCAAGTGGCGGAGAAGGTGACCACACTTGCATTGTGTAAAGAAAAGCAACGAGAAAGTGAAGACATCCTTGACTACTCAAAAGGTTTCAGGACAAGGCTGTGAATTGTCACGAAGCAGTGGAGGAGAGTTATCTGGTTCAAATCTGCCTAAAGGGGGCATTGAGTAGGTATAAAATGTTTCTAGTTAATCACAAGCTACCCACCTTCTCGGCACTAATAGAAGCAGCTCGGAACATTAGCACTCCTCAGGCTCAGGAGTTCGGATTTAAGGCCAGTTACAAGACTAGCTTCAAATCGTCTCGTGGACCTATTGTTGTTGCTGCCTCTGCCCCAGATACCCAAAAGTCACAATGAGGGGGCCATAGAGGCCAGAAAAGGAAGCAATATAATGGTGAAAAGGGGAATGCTTCTTATCCATGTGGAATCGATGAGGTAAAAGCTCTAGTTAAGGATGGGTGACCGACGAAGAGCTAAAATTGCCTTATGTCGAAGAAATGCCATCAAAGAAGGACTGCGAGAGCCCCAAATTTTGCATCTATCATTGCACATTGAAATATCTGACAGAGAAGTGTTGGACTCTCAGGAAAATCTTCAGAGATAAAGTCGAGGCAGACGAATTGAGGTTCAAAAAGCAAAAAAACTCAATCTCTCCTAAAAAACACCCTCGAAGAAGCTGTCCGTCACATCTACATCCTGAGGACAAACAGTAGAGTGTGCCTCTAAAGTCTCCAAGGCCTGAGCATAGCCCGACTCAAGTTTACGAAGAGTTGCCTTTGTCTCATCTATAGAGGTCCGATAAGAGACAAACACAAACAAAACTTCCACTCGGCAACTGGCGTTCGAAGCTATATCCAGGCGCTTCCGAAGCCATGATAGATCCACTTAGTGACGCTTCATGTCAGAGATCCCCTAATACGTTGTGTCGACTACTTTCCCGTTAAGGTCACACAGCCGTTGCCTGTCCAAGCTATATAGGATAGTGGCAAAAGACTCGAGAAGAGCAGTCTGAATGAGTGGACATTGGCAAGCAAATGAAGCAAAGGTCTCAGGGTAACTCGAATGCACAAGCTGTAGAACTAAAGCAAACTCAGGAGCTACCCAATAATGGAGAAATGATACTTTGCCAGAAGCCGAAGAAGGAATTGGGGCTGGAAAGGTACTAGTCTCAAGAATCTCCCCAATGTCTATCGGGTTAGATGAACCACCCGGAGGGGTAACTTCCAGCAGAGGTTCTGAGCCTGAGAATGCGGATCGATAAGGGGAAAGACCAAAAGCATCACTATCAAAGTGGAAATCATTGAGATTCAGATCCAAAACATTTAAAGGCACTTGCGATGAAGAGCCTCTAGCAGTTGTCTCAAAGGCAGGTGTCTCCTCTTGAGAAGGAGAACCATGAGGAGTCACAAAGAGAGTCAGAGCAGAGTTCGAGGCAGGTGAAGGCAGGACATCGATAGCGGCCAACACTGAAGAAAAGATAAAGAAGTCTTATCAGGGGCAGGGAGCAGTAAAGCCATTTGAGTAAAAAAAATTTCTTACAGATAGAAATACATGACAAACTTCAGAAAGAAAGATTATTTGAGGGAGAATCATTATGCAAAGCCAGGGCAACTGAAGGGCTCCTAGCATCAACAAAGTCACTTGGCTGTACAAGGGGCACCTGATCGATTTCAACGTCTAATGAAACCAGAATAGTAGTAGTCATCCCTGAAGAAGGAAGGAAGCCCGGAGGATGAGAATCACAATAAGTGCCAGAGCGAGTCTCAGAGACTTCTAATGCATCCACCTCCACACTATTCCCAGAGGCGCACCTCATCTCTACATTGCTTCCAGAAGCATGGTCTGCGGCATCAATTTCTGTGGCACCAGTCCCTTAAACAATCTCAGCATCAGAGCCACGGTTCTCAATAATCTCAACATCAGAACAGTGAGCCCCGACAACCTCGTCACCAAGATAGCGCTCTTCCTCTGAAACTGAGCGATGAGGCGAACATCTGACCAATGAAAAGGCATCCTCAGTCACGATAGGACGGTGACGACGTGTACGTGGGACAAGGTCACAAAAATGATCGGAGGACTCAGCCTCATCATCATCATCATCATCATCATCATCTATAACTGCTATACGAGGGGTGCGCATTTTCATGAGTCTTGCAGACAAAGGGAGAGTATCATCCAAGTCTGAGTTCGGCCTGGTAGGGGCAGCATGGCCAATAGCCACGGTACTGAGAGCGTCAGCAACCGCAGGGTCAAAAGACGGAGTAGGATCCTACACAACACGAAAAATAAAAAGTGTTCATTTAAGAAGGTATAGTCGCAAGAAGGAAAGTAACTTCAAATCAAAAAATTTTAAAATTTTAAGATGTCTATTTGGTATCTGATGGAGCCTTTTGGAAAGGCAAGGAGTGGAAGGACTGGCATCAGAAATCCTCTTGTGGGCCATCTTCTTAAGGCGGGTCGTCCGAGGAGCAGACGCGTTATTCAAAGGGACTGGCTCTGGAGGAGCAATTGCCAAGCTAGAAGTAGATGTTCGAGCTGGAGGGTCAGTCGGAGCAGATGAAGCGAAGAAGCTCGCATACATATGATCAGATTTCGACTCTCAGGCAGCTGAAGATAAAAGTCTTTCTTATAAATCGGCGGAGGTAAACATGTGGACGGTCTGCTCTGGACAAACTCAATAAATGCATCAATATTCTTCCGCCAATATCTCCTGAAAGAGGGGGTGAAACCCCCTACTCGGCTCAAGCCTAGCATCGTCAAAGAGCCGGATATAGGAAGCATGGTGTGTATGAGTCCGCGAGTAAATTGCTCGTAGCTAAAGGAGGTGCTGCCCCCGGGGCACACTGGTCAAACTCGAATTAGCATGTTACTCTGTCAGGTCTATAGACGGTGCTATCAACGTCCTCCTCATGCCATACCGGTAATGAACTCGGACGAACCATTATCAGCATATCAACAAAGTATGCAGAGATATCCTTCGGCAAGGGAAAGGACACTAGGCGGAAGGAACCATGATAGATAAGTGGCGTTGCCACACCCATCGATGGGTATACATAGGGGCGTACCACAAAGCGCCGGAGATCATCTACCAAAGTATTCCAGGATAAGGTGGAAATGACACGTGACCAACGTGTGATTAATGGCTGGCAAGTCTTCGCTTTCTCAAATGTGCGAGACCTGTCATTACCAAGCACGGGGATACCATCTTTATCCACTATCTCCCGAAGAACTTCTAACTCGAATACAATAAGAGTAGAGGCAAACTTTGGGAACCTCTCGAAGAAAAAATAGAGCAAGAACTGGCTATGGACGAAGGAGACAGGCTCGTACCGACCCACGGAACGTACCATATCTCGATGTAGCAGATCCAGCCGATAATAAAGATTCCCAAGAAATAGCGGGGCCAAAGGGATCCGATCCCCCTTGAAGAGCCTAACTGCCAAGAGGAAGATAAAAGGATTGAGAGAATCTGGAGGTGTGCTCGGAAGAATGAAGAATGAAAGGAAGCAAGCCAGAAATCCCAAAAAATAGAGCCTAGAGCCATACATCGGGCCGACCTCATACTCCAAACCCGAATTGACATGCTACACCGTCAAGTCTATAAATGGCACTGTCAACGCCTTCCTCATGCCATACCGGTAGCGAACCAGGACGGATCATTATCAGCATATCAATAAAGTGTGCAGGGATGTTCTTCAGCAAAAGAAAGAACATCGAGCGAGAGGAACCATGATAAATAAGTGGTGTTGCCACACCCACCGGTGGGCATACATACGGCCGTGCCACAAACCGCCGGGGATCATCCACCAGAGTATTCAAGGATAAGGTGGGAATGGTACGTGACCAACGTGTAATCAACGGCTGGCAAGACTTCGCTTTCTCAAATGTCCGAGACCCGTCAGTATTGAGCACAGGGATACTATTTTTATCCACTATCTCCCGAAGAACCTCTACCTCGAATACAGTCGGAGTGGGGGCAAACTTTGGGAACCTCTCGAAGAAAAAATAGAGCAAGAACTGGCTATGGACAAAGGAGACAGGCTCGTACTGACCCACGGAACGTACCATATCTCGATGTAGCAGATCCAGCCGATAATAAAGATTCCCAAGAAATAGCTGGGCCAAAGGGATCCGATCCCCCTTGAAGAGCCTAACTGCCAAGGGGAAGATAAAAGGATTGAGAGAATCTGGAGGTGTGCTCGGAAGAATGAAGAATGAAAGGAAGCAAGCCAGAAATCCCCAAAAATAGAGCCTAAAGCCATACATCGGGCCGACCTCATACTCTCGAGAATCAGGGTCAGCATCTCTAGTTAGGGGCTGAAGATCTCTAAAGAAGTGGCAGATCCATGCGGTGTAGGAGGCACGGTCCGTCCTCACTCGATTGTTCCTTCTCGCTGAACCATCAAATACAGAACTCCACCGACCACAAGCTTGAAGATTTAGCTTTAGAGATTAGATCAAAGAATCATCCTCGGAGGGTGTCCGCTCAGGGTAGAAGGCATCAAGGCCAGTCACTTCTAGACGCAGCAACATGAACACATCCTCGAGGGTGGGCCCCATCTCATGCTGGCCAAGTATAAAAGTGTGTGTCTTGGTGCTCCACCGGAGAGCCATGGCTTCAAGGCTAGCATTGTTGCAGCGGATGGATAGGGATCAAGATATTTTCACTGGGATCAATAGCTGGGCCTCCTGAAGCCGCTGACAGAGGCCTCTGTCCGAGAGAGCATCATCGACCCACTCTTGCCAACCAAAAAGAGGGTTTGAGAAGGCCTTGAACTAGGGATAGTAGTATGGAAAGTCCCTCGCTCAACCCTAAAGCGTAGCACCGAAGAAGGGGAAATGAGGGCCTCATGTCGGGAGTCAGTGTCCTCAAAGAGACATAATGGAGCCCCCTTCGGAGACAGAAGAGAAGTAGTAGAGGTAGCCGCTCGCCAGAACAGGGTCTTTCCGACCAAAATAAGGAGATTTCCTCCACTCGAACGTCGGAGGTACATCCCTCTCTTTCATGAGAGCCGGTTCTGATGACCTCGGGACAATAGATTTCTTTCGAGAAGACATATAGCTGAAATAACAGGTATAAATAGCAAGGAGTTGACCGTATTAAAATATAGAATATTAGAATTGAAACAACACATTCAAACGAAATTTCGGCATTAACTATTCGTTTCTTAGAGAATCCACGAATTCAACAAATTCTACGAGGAATTTTACATCAAGAATTCAGGCACGATGTCTACTATTCTAAGGGTTGCAACAATCAGTCATCTGATAATAAGATTTACATGCAACATGATGGGTTTATTAACAAGTTAAACCTCGGACGTCATCAACAATTCATTTTCTCGGGTATTCACAAGATCAACAAACAGCAATATGTAGCCCTATTCTATACTACGACTTTTGATTCCCGCAAGGAAAGTGTTCACAAGGTTCAAAGTGTCAGAGTATTATTCGTCAAATATATATGGTTTGAGTATGGCATTATCTTCCTCGAAACTACAATGATCAATTGCTCGGCAACAAAATTTATATTCAACAATATGGGTTCAAGATTCACTCAACATCGATAATAAGATTTACATGCAACATGATGGGTTTATTAACAAATTCAACCTCGGACGTTATCAGCAATTCATTTTCTCGGGTATTCACAAGATCAACAAAAAGCAATATGTAGCCCTATTCTATACTACGACTTTTGATTCCCGCAAGGAAAGTGTTCACAAGGTTCAAAGTGTCAGAGTATTATTCGTCAAATATATATGGTTTGAGTATGGCATTATCTTCCTCGAAACTACAATGATCAATTGCTCGGCAACAAAATTTATATTCAACAATATGGGTTCAAGATTCACTCAACATCTTCAAGCTCAACAAATTGCAGTACTAATGTGTGTATCATCAACATATAGATTTCAAGTTTCTGTCATCAATAAGAGGTGCAATGTCATAGGCCGTTTTTTGATGAAATTCAAGCGGGTCATTTTCTTAAAATTACTGTGTTTCATATTAAAGATTTAGCTTATATAGGGCTCAAACTTTGGGTAGAGTACAGTTCAATGGCAAATTTCAGACCCAAGATCAGAAGTGTTTTATACTTGTCATCCGTAGCAAGATTCAGTAGATTGTCCTACAAATTGCAAGAGTGTTCCTCCCAAGTCAATGTTCATAGCCCAAAATTTCTTTGGCAAATTTCGAGTCAGAAAAACCATTTAAATAAATACAACAGCCTATTTCAAAAATTGCAAAGCCTAAACAAGTTCAAGCTCCACATTGGAATTTCAAATCACAAATATTAAGGCTCAGTGTTTCAAAGTCTTTGAGCTAAAAAAAAATTGGAATTAGAAATTCTAAAAAGCTTATTTTACAAAAAGCTTACATCAAGATTAAAATATATATATACACTTACCCACAGATCTGAGAAAGAAGGAGCAGATTCAAGGCAACAATGACCAAGAGAGAAATGAAGAATAATGTAAACCGAGGCTCAACGGTGCTAGGCAAGACCACACACGTCGCGTTAAGTGGGCAAACGTGTGTGGTCGACGTTGGACGATCGAGTCCGAAAGTAGCGGTGGTGCCGCAGAGGAGTTGGTAACCACACACGACGCGTTGAATGGGCGATGTGTGTGGTGGGTACTGGAACAACAGTTAAGGCCGACGGCGAGGTCGTAGCAGAGAGGCCGACAGTGGGTTGGCGATGAAGCTGCAGCGGAGACGATGACAACGACGGAGCTTGGAGCTGCGGTGGAGGTCAGTGAGCAAGTGGCCGCCGCCTATGGTGTTGTAGAAGCAGATTTTTCTTGGAGAAGAAGCGTAGTCTCTTAGCTTAGAAAGAGAGATTGTGCCGCTGGGTTTCAAAGGACAAAAAAAAGAAGAAGAAGAAAGTTGGGTCTCTCTGTGTAGAGAAAGAGAGCGCCGTTGTGCAACAAACAAAAAAAAGGGTGAGCTATGAAATAGGGTTTTGGCCCTTTCTTTAAATAGAAAAAAAAGAAGTGTGATGCTTGGGATATTCTTTCAAATATTCTAGTGTGTATATGTGCATATAATGGGCTCGCTGTTTCCAAACAAAAGAAAAAGAAGGCCTCTTAGATTATTCTACTAGTCTATATATATATATATAATGTGCCTGTCGTTTTCCAAGCAAAAAAAGAGTGTTTGGATCCTTTTTTTTTAGAATAAAAAAATGGGTGCTTTATTGTTCTTTGACTTGGAATAAAAAAATGGACCTTAGATATTCTATAAGAAAAAGAAGATTTGGACTCATGCTTGCTGATTTATGGAATTGAAGAATTCAAGTTGACTTTCGAAAAACAAATCAGTGGCAAAAAAAAAAAAAAAAAGAGAGATATTTATTTATTTAATATTACTTGTCGATTTTATTCGTAATTTACAGTGAGTCCTCAGCTTTATCCATAGATTCTATCAAGACCAAATATTTCTGAAGACGTAATGTGAAGCATGGCTGACAAGGTGAAACTATGCATGTCCGAGAAAACTAAAACTTCTAATACATGCAAGGGGCAAATGTAAGAGGAGCTAATTTGAGCCCACAAATTAATCAGGCTCAATAGTCCAAGGTTGGTGGGCTTGGATTTATCGCCATAAAACGGGTCGAATCGCTCTAAGCCTCGAAAGGGTTCGGATCCACGAACTTAGAGACTTACTCGGGCTCGGACTCAAAAGGATTCGGATCCACGAACCTAGAGATCCGAAGTACTTGGCTTCGAACGGATTCAGACGCAATCTAGAAGTCGCTCCATTAATGAGTCTCAGAGCACTTGCGGTCTCGGAGCTTTCTGGGATCTACGTACCAGAACCATTAGCGTAATGGAGTTCGAACAAAGGACCCGATCCTGAGGACGGTGAGTGGAGATAAATTCACTCTTCGGTTAAACTAGCCTATACCCGGGTCGAGGTGGCACGACCCCGGGGGGTACCCGCGCGCGTTAAACAGTTCGGACTCCCGAGATCTCTTTGATCTAGTCTCATGAGCGCAATGTGAAACATAGATGAGAGTCCAGATTTGGCAACTTTTATTGAAAATCCATTTTATTGCAAAAAATCCTTTTGCCAGAAATGGACTGCGTCATCAGATCTTAGAGTCGCCACCTAATATTTTGGGAAATTAGGAAACCCATGACTCATGCCAAGGCCACTGTTCGTCGTAACCAAAGATGCTTGGCTCGGAACCTTAGGTGTGAGAGGGGAAGGTCAATAATGAGCAAACAGTTCGGACTCCCGAGATCTCTTTGATCTAGTCTCATGAGTG